AAAAAATGTCAGAGAAAAAATGTTTGAATATAAAAACACAGTCATAAGATTTGTGACAGTGTTTTACCAGCATGATGTTGACTCAGTTAAGACAATACATAGATTTTCTTTCTGTGCCCAGTTCATTCATTATGAAAGTTTTATCTCCACCAGAGTCACATGTTTCTTCAACAGTATCAATAAATGTGACATTATGCTCATTGTCAGTACAAAACCTCAGGTGTGTGATTCCATGTGAAAAACTGAAACACTGATAAAAGTAATGCAGTATTTCCCAGGTCTGAAAACGTACATGCTGTATTTACCAGGCATAGGGCTCGTTGTATTGAACATACTTCTGTGTGCTGAGACAGGATAAAATACAAATACTCCAAACCATCACTGGGTAAATTGACTATACTTGGTAAAATGTGAGAATACAGATACTGGATGTAACAAATTATATATAAAAAAGTCAAATTGATACTCACACTCTAGAGTCCAGGCAGCTTGAATGTTGGAAAACACAACATGTTTATTAGTCAACTTTTAAAACACCTTAACAGTACAGCAAATATATGTATTTTATTTACAGAGTTCCACTGAGTTACAAGGAGTGGTGTGCTCAGATAAACATCATTTCATCTGATTTAATACTGTTGGATCTCAACAAAGTAAACGGCCTCAAAATACTTCTCTAATATCTAATACTTATGTATTTAAAAACACATTGTCAAATGCATGAAATGTTTTTATTTCTACTCTGTTCTAGAACAATTACTGGATTACCAGCAGTATAGTACAATAAGATAAACCGTTGTTCAAATGATCACTATTCTACATATGTAAGGTGGACTTGTGAGATGGTTACTTACAGCTGCCCAAACTGATGATCCCAGCCCATAGCAGCAGGAGCTTGAGACTGCTGAGACCTGCCATTTGCAGCAGTCAGGGTGTGTGTTACCACACCGCACAGTGTTGTCCAATATGACCGATATTCCCACTGCAAAGAGAGGTGTTAAGTTTTATTTATACTGAATGCAAAGAGAGAAATTTTGTCTGCATAATGTCTTTGCTTTTTGGCCTCACCTTAAGGCTTGGTTTTGACCTCGAAGTGAGTGGGAGAGATGTTATACTTCGGTGACAGGAAGCTTCACTTCCTTTGTTCCATTGCCAACAAGAAGTTGTATGTTATCTGAACCACAAATTTGTTTTCACACTGTTCTTTTTAGAGATTAGGTAAGGGTGAAATTTGGACTCACTCAAAATTAATAAAATGCATTCTTTTCAAAACTGATTCAAAGCTCATAAAGCAATACCTTAACGTTTTACACCACACAAGAGCATTTATGTCACTTCAGTTTAATGGCAAAATAGATTTTTCTGCCCATATCATAATTTTAAAAAATCTGGCTTGAAGTTTCTAGTAAAATCTGAGCAAATGTCATACAAAGATGCACAAACAACTTTTCATTTTATACACTCTACACTACACATTTTTCACATGAAAAGAAAAGCAAGATGCATTACAACAGTATGAATTATTTTTACTCACTCATTTCAAGTGTCATAGTTTTATCTTCAGTGCGGTTACAGAGGATTTCTTTGCCAGATCCACCGATAAATGTCACAGAATGTTCATATTTAGTGCAGGGCTTCAGGGGTTTGATGTCACGCACTATGTTTTCACTAGAGAGTGAAACTGGCAATGTGAATTTTCCTTTAGGTCGGCCTTCTTCTTTCATGCTTATGTTGAAGGTACCATTAGTAGAACTTAAAATGTTGATCTGGAGTCCATACTTAATGGGCTTAATAGTGTAAGAACCTGCACACAAAATCAACAGAGTTATAAAAGTTAGTTAATATGAACCAATTACATCTCAGACACTTTGTTCATGATGAAACCGAACATGTTTCTGTGTATGTTGAAGATAAATAATATTATACTCACTGTAAAAATGTACTTTAATTTTAAAGTACTGTTCAAAGAAATACACACACTTGATAGCAGTAAAATTACTGCATGTATTTGAAAACATAAGGTGGTGGAGCGAGGAACTGGTAGTGAATTTAGGTTTGTTACTCACGTAGACATTTTCACTCACACCATTATACAAGTGTGACATTGACTTCCTGACAACATTGTTTCATCCATTTGATGGCACATAGTCTGTAGACAGACTCACCACACTCTGCCTCTTCTCTGAGTTTTTGTCTTTCACTTCTACCAAGCTGATACTTGGTTTATTTGAAATACAGGAAATGTTAACTGTGGTTAATGCTGAAACGCATGCAGTTTGTAAGAGCACAAGATTGACTTTTAGCAGCTGCTGTTACTTTGGAGAAGTGAGTGAGATAGATTTTATACGCACTTCAGTGTCAGGAAGCTCCACTTCCTTTGTTCCATTGCCAGCAGGAAGTTATATGTTATCTGAAACTCAAATTTGTTTTCACACTGTTCATTTTAGAAATTAGGTAAGGGTGAAATTTGGACTTACATTCTTTTCAAAACTGATTCAAAGTCCAAACAGCAATACCTTAACTTCTTATACCACATAAGAGCATTTATGTCACTTCATAAATGGCAGAATAGATTTTTCTGCCCATATCATAATAAAAAAAAAAAAATCAATATCTCCATTTGGATAATTTTACTACATTTTACGTATCGACTGGTGGAAGTTGCAGGTCAGATTCACCACCTAGATCACAGACATGCATGTAAACCACATAATGTTCCCGACAATATGTTCATTTTTCTTGACTTTCCACTTATCGGTGTAATTCATGGAGAGGCTATAACAGTTTGAAGGTACTAATGGTTTTATTTTTACAGGAAGTTTAGTGTGAATAGATGATGTTTTTAAACTGGGTTTAAGGAATCTGTGAAATTTGATTTAAAGTGAGTGCCTTTCAAAATAAACGTAAACTGTTGTACACACCGGCATTGATACTTTTGGTGAGGCTAAACCAGGGTGTCTGCCGGGTTTTAAAAAGTGGTTAATCAAAATTGCCAAATTTAAGGCCATCAAAAGTGTTTAATGTGGTTTAGAGGTATTACTTTTTTAAAAATAGGCATTATTTTTTCAGACTATGCTGTCCCATTCTGATTGAGTTAGCGCTAGTTCGTTTAAATGTGGGCTTTAGCATATCTGGGCACATAATCAAAGATCCTCGTCTATTCTCAACTTTGTGTGTTTGATGTTGACGTCATATTCAGTGGTTGTTCGACATCTCAAACGCTTTGCGTGCTCAGCTCAACTGGATAGCCAACTGGATAGCTTACGTTGTTGACTAGTTTAGGCATATCTTCAACGTCCAGACAACCATCATCGTCGTCATGGGCAAATGCAAGTATTCTGACAGCTGGATGGAAGACCCAGCATTTAAGGACTGGCTCAGGCCTCCAGTAGGGAATAACTGGCAGGCTTATTGTTCGGTTTGTAAAAAAACATCAATGTCAACTGGGTGGGAACTAACGCGCTTTGGTCGCATATGCAATCCACTAAACATAAAAATGGAATGTGCGGTCACACCACCACCGCAAACTAGTGCCACAGTACAAGCCAATGTTACGGCTCCAACAACCACGTCTGACCTCTGACATCTGGAGGCTTCAGGGGTTTGATGTCACGCACTATGTTTTCACTAGAGAGTGAAACTGGCAATGTGAATTTTCCTTTAGGTCGGCCTTCTTCTTTCATGCTTATGTTGAAGGTACCATTAGTAGAACTTAAAATGTTGATCTGGAGTCCATACTTAATGGGCTTAATAGTGTAAGAACCTGCACACAAAATCAACAGAGTTATAAAAGTTAGTTAATATGAACCAATTACATCTCAGACACTTTGTTCATGATGAAACCGAACATGTTTCTGTGTATGTTGAAGATAAATAATATTATACTCACTGTAAAAATGTACTTTAATTTTAAAGTACTGTTCAAAGAAATACACACACTTGATAGCAGTAAAATTACTGCATGTATTTGAAAACATAAGGTGGTGGAGCGAGGAACTGGTAGTGAATTTAGGTTTGTTACTCACGTAGACATTTTCACTCACACCATTATACAAGTGTGACATTGACTTCCTGACAACATTGTTTCATCCATTTGATGGCACATAGTCTGTAGACAGACTCACCACACTCTGCCTCTTCTCTGAGTTTTTGTCTTTCACTTCTACCAAGCTGATACTTGGTTTATTTGAAATACAGGAAATGTTAACTGTGGTTAATGCTGAAACGCATGCAGTTTGTAAGAGCACAAGATTGACTTTTAGCAGCTGCTGTTACTTTGGAGAAGTGAGTGAGATAGATTTTATACGCACTTCAGTGTCAGGAAGCTCCACTTCCTTTGTTCCATTGCCAGCAGGAAGTTATATGTTATCTGAAACTCAAATTTGTTTTCACACTGTTCATTTTAGAAATTAGGTAAGGGTGAAATTTGGACTTACATTCTTTTCAAAACTGATTCAAAGTCCAAACAGCAATACCTTAACTTCTTATACCACATAAGAGCATTTATGTCACTTCATAAATGGCAGAATAGATTTTTCTGCCCATATCATAATAAAAAAAAAAAAATCAATATCTCCATTTGGATAATTTTACTACATTTTACGTATCGACTGGTGGAAGTTGCAGGTCAGATTCACCACCTAGATCACAGACATGCATGTAAACCACATAATGTTCCCGACAATATGTTCATTTTTCTTGACTTTCCACTTATCGGTGTAATTCATGGAGAGGCTATAACAGTTTGAAGGTACTAATGGTTTTATTTTTACAGGAAGTTTAGTGTGAATAGATGATGTTTTTAAACTGGGTTTAAGGAATCTGTGAAATTTGATTTAAAGTGAGTGCCTTTCAAAATAAACGTAAACTGTTGTACACACCGGCATTGATACTTTTGGTGAGGCTAAACCAGGGTGTCTGCCGGGTTTTAAAAAGTGGTTAATCAAAATTGCCAAATTTAAGGCCATCAAAAGTGTTTAATGTGGTTTAGAGGTATTACTTTTTTAAAAATAGGCATTATTTTTTCAGACTATGCTGTCCCATTCTGATTGAGTTAGCGCTAGTTCGTTTAAATGTGGGCTTTAGCATATCGGGGCACATAATCAAAGATCCTCGTCTATTCTCAACTTTGTGTGTTTGATGTTGACGTCATATTCAGTGGTTGTTCGACATCTCAAACGCTTTGCGTGCTCAGCTCAACTGGATAGCCAACTGGATAGCTTACGTTGTTGACTAGTTTAGGCATATCTTCAACGTCCAGACAACCATCATCGTCGTCATGGGCAAATGCAAGTATTCTGACAGCTGGATGGAAGACCCAGCATTTAAGGACTGGCTCAGGCCTCCAGTAGGGAATAACTGGCAGGCTTATTGTTCGGTTTGTAAAAAAACATCAATGTCAACTGGGTGGGAACTAACGCGCTTTGGTCGCATATGCAATCCACTAAACATAAAAATGGAATGTGCGGTCACACCACCACCGCAAACTAGTGCCACAGTACAAGCCACTGTTACGGCTCCAACAACCACGTCTGACCTCTGACATCTGGATGACTATGGGCGCCACACCAACACTGCGCGCGGAGGCTCTGTGGTGTCTAAACACTACAGTTAAACACCACTCATTAACTCTAACGAAGAAATTGCGGAGCTGTTTAAAGAGATGTTTCCCAACTCTTACATTGCGAAGTCATTCACGTGTGGTAAAGACAAAACCGGGTATATCATCAGATTTGGATTAGCATCGTTCTTCAAAAAACAGCTTGTCGATGGCATCAACAAGGCTGGGCTATTTGTGTTGATGTTTGATGAGAGCCTCAATCAAGCGTCAAAGAAAAAACAGCTTGACATCCCTGAGTTCATATTAGGCCTATAGCACAGGTTTATGTTAAAATCAAATAATAGCAGTTCACCAATTCTGCTATACGAATTGGTGATGCCAGTTTGTAGCAGCGAATGCCAGCCAGTGTACTGGAACTGTTCTCTTCATTGCACATTTTATGTAGTTTGTTTTGTTTTTATTCACGAAGTGAAATAAATGTGTGCAATATGTGGTCAACATCAGTGAGTCTCTAAATCTATTCTGCTGTGTATAGTGTTATATATGTCAAAATCTGCTTCAATGTTAATAAGGTTGCTGATTAACACTTGAAACTCAGTGTCATGATGGTTTAAAAAAATCCAAAGGTAGTAAAAAAAGGTATTAAAAGGTATTCAATTTAACTTAAGGATTATTGTATATACCCTGTAAACAAAGAGTTCTCAGTCTCAGGATGTGAAGTTTTCAGTAAAACCTAAGCAAACCAGGGTGTTTTATTGTCACACCACTCA